TGTAACTTGGAGATGATACCATGAACTGAGTGTCTGCCACATGTTAGGATGTGGGGGTGTGGAGGGGGCAGTGAAGGGGACAGAAATGAGTCCTGCAGGAATTCTGACCTTCACAAGCTTACAGAATAGGAGAGGAGAAGAGATAGAGAAAAAGCTATATATACTTGAAACATCTAGAATATGATGAGCTAATGAAAGGGCATTCTTGATCCTGGGATAAGCCAGGAACAGATGAAAAGTTACATAACAGGACTGGGCATTATAAGGTCCTGAATATCAAGGGTACAACTTAATGTCCCTGAGTAATAAATTGCTTTATATCAAAGTTGTTAATGCTTTAGAAGGCTGCAAAATTCCATCTGAAAGGGCAATTCTGTCCAGCAAAGATAATTTTCATATTCAGTTGTATTGCAAAGTAGCACGCAATGAGGTGCAATCATTCTTCCATTCCACTCACCTAGCCACATGAAATAGACACCCTCGGCTCCAATCTAAGATGCCCACCATGAGGATGGTGGGCCAAAGTACAGAAGTCTGGGGTGGGTGGAGGCCGGCAGTGGCATGATGTGGGCTTGACAGTCTCCTTCCTGTGTCCAGCCCTTTCGAGTGCAAGCTTGCTAAGCCCTTTTCTTCATAGAGTTGGAGTGTCCGCTCCATTTGATTTCTGTAAACTTGGAATGATTAATTCCAGCAAAATTCAACTTTAAGAGAACTATTAGAAGTCTCTGTAGAGGTCTTTTTAGTGAAACTTGACCTAATGTGTGCTGCATAATTACTCGAAGCCCTAGGATCTGATATATCAAGGGTTGAATCCTAACTCAAACCAAAGCTGGTGGGTGTGGCTGAACTCTCCAAGGGGATGGTGGGTTTTTGTGCCGAGGGTCCATCTGCACCCAGGTGGCCCCCTCTTGCCTCGGAGGAGCCTAGCTGCTTGGTGTCCAGTCTTGGAGACGCAGATCACACACACCTTTGGCCAAGAGGCCTTACAAGAGAGCGGTTCTCCTCATCCGTGCTCAGAAGGCGTTTTGTGCACACTTGTCAGAGAAGCCGAGAAGCATCCAAGTCAGGAACATCTCCCCCCATGATGAGAGAGCTTGGGATCAGTCACAGCGTCAGGGCTGGGCAAAGGTTTATAAATCACTTCTGTTTCCAGGACACGATTGGAGTTGGCTAGATTTCATGGCAAATGCTGCTCTAACACCTGCTTGTTAGGGGACTTTGGCAGGCCTGTAAATTCCCTCAGCCTCAGTCTCCCTATCTGAACAGTGGGGACAATAATAATGATGTCCTTAGGATTACGGTGCCAACTGCATGAGATAATTTGAGCACTTCAGGTGCTCTGACCTCTGCCTGTTGCTCAGTAATGCTGTGGGGTGGGAGCTTCGAAGAAGAGGGATACCATGATGATGATGGAGAGACAGGCCAAGGGGCCATGTTTAGGGTTTGTGTCCTCACCCTTTCTCCCCTAGGCTTCACTTCAAAGCCTCTCCTGTCCTCCAGCATCTGGGAGGCTCCCCCGCTGACTGCAGACCATGGATTTGTGGCAACTGCAGTGTCCTCTACCTGGAAACCCTTTCTTTTCTTTCTTTTTAAAAAACATTATATTTATTTTTAGATAACTGAAGCATAACTGACATATTTTACTAGTTTTAGGTGTACCACATGACTTGATATTTGTATTCATTGTCAAATGGCTTCCACAATAAGTCTAGTTAACATCTGTCACCATAGTTACAAAGTGTGTAACACCATAGTTACATAGCTACAACTATGTGAGTGAGATATGATGAGAACTTTTTAAAAAGTCTTGCATCGTTGGGGCGCCTGGGTGGCTATGTCGGGTAAGCGTCCGACTCTTGATTTCAGCTCAGATCATGATCTCAGGCTCGTGGGATTGACCCCCACATCAGGCTCTGTGCTGACAGCATGGAGCCTGCTTGGGATTCTCTCTCAACCTCTCTCTCTCTCTCTGCCCTTCCTGTGCTTTCTCTCTCTCTCTCTCTCTCTCTCTCTCTCTCTCACACACACACACACACTCCCCCCCCAAGATAAATAAATAAACATTTTTTAAAAATCCTGTATAGTTAACAGATAGCATCATATCAGTTTCAAGCGTACATTGTGATTCAACAATTCTTCATGTTACTGAGTGCTATCATGATAAGTGTACTCTTAATCCCCTTCACCCGTTTCACCCGCCCCCCCCCCCACCTGCCCCGTTCTGGTAACAATCTCTATAGTTAAGAGTCTGGTTTTTGTTTATGTAGTTTTTTTTAATATATAAAAATTTTTTTAAGTTTATTTTGAGAGAGATAGAGAATACGTGCACATTCACAAGGGAGGGGCAGAGAGAGAGGGAGAGAAAGAATCCCAAGCAGGCTCCATGCTGTCAGTGTAGAGCCCGATGTAGGGCTCAAAGTCATGAAGCGTGAGATCATGACCTGAGCCGCGGTCGAGTCAGACGCCTAACCGACTGAGCCACCCAGATGCCCTTTTGTCTCTTTTTTTCTTTGTTTTTGTTTTCTTTCTTAAATTCTACATATGAATTTGGTATTTTTCTCTGATTAACTTATTTCAGCTAACATAATACCCTCTAGATCTGTTTTTGCAAATGGCAAGATTTCATTCTTTTTATGGTTGAGTAATATTCCATTGTATATGTGTGTGTGTATGGGAGATATATATGTATCACACTTATGATGAGAAGTTTTAAGATCTACTCTCCTAACAACTTTTAAATATGCAGTCAGTGTTATTAACTATAGTCCCCACGCGGCACATTACACCCTATGGCCTATTTATCTTATAACTGGAAGTTTCTACCTTTTAACCACTGTCACTCATTTCACCAACTATCCCCACCCTGCTTCTGATAGCCACCAATCTGTTCTCTGTATCTATGAAATCAGGTTTTTGTTAGGTTCCACAAACAAGTGAGATCATATGATATTTGTCTTTCTCTGTCTGATTTATTTCACTTATCATAATGCCCTCAAGATCCATCCAGGTTGTCACAGATGGCCAAGATTGACTTCTTTGTCATGGCTGAGCAATATTTCATTGTGTGTGTATATATATGTGTATGTATAAAGTGTACCACACTTTATTTATTTTAATTTTTTATTTATTTTTGAGAGAGAGAGAGAGACAGTGTGTGAGCAGGGGAGGGGCAGAGAGAGAAGGAGACACAGAATCCAATGCAGGTTCCAGGCTCTCAACTATCAGCACAGAGCCTGATGTGGGGCTCGAACCCACACGCCAGGAGCTCATGACCTGAGCAGAAACCAAGAGTCATAAGCTTAACCGACTGAGCCAGCCGCGCCCTACTCCACACTTCCTTTATCCTTTCATCCACTGATTTCAGAACCTTTTCTTTCCAGCAAGGGTGACCCTCCCTTGCCCCAGGTTAGAACCTTCCAGGTCCCTCCACCTTCTCCCTCCTTAGCACAACACTTGCCCTTCTTATCCCCAATTTCTCTCTACTCCAGCTCTCTGCCACCCCCAGACTCAAGTACCTGTTGTCCCCAGGTAAGTGAAGGACTTCGTGTCAGCATTCCCTCTGCAGAAGAGTGTCTCTGCACATAGGAACCCGGCCCACCCTTCAGGGCTCTCATTCTCCCACAGGGAGTGCTCCCTCTGGCAGCTGCATGGAAGGTGGTTGGGAGTGCTCACAGAAAGGGGACACATGAAAATTTGCCAGGCAAACTTGAGACTTTCTCTCACTTGGTGAGCCTCATATTTCCCAGCCTCCTTCTCCAGTTTACTTGTTCATTCCCCTTCTTTTCCATCCTGGGTTGGTGGGGGCCGCCCCTCATCCATCTCTCACTCCCAGTTTTCCCCAACCCTTCCCTCGTCCCTGGTATGCTTTTCTGTCTAGAATTCATTGTCAAGCACATTGGAATTCCTAAACAACTCCACTTCCACTGCTGAGGTGTCACAGATAATTCATTGTTATGATGTGTGTGGAGCTAGAATCATAAAAAGACAATTTCCTGGGTGATTTATTATAAGGGGGGCAGAAGCCAGGTTGTTTACCATTCAAAGAAAGAGTCCAGGGAATGGATTAAAACTTTGGGGAGAATTTATGATTAAACCTCAAGGTATCCTAATTCAGAGTCAGGACAGTATTCCGCTTGAATAGTTTCTGATGTCTTTGGACCACCCAGTTTGAACTTCCCCTGTTCTGCCCGTGGTTAGAAATCACTCCTAAGGAGCAGCTCCTACTCAGTACTTGGCAATGATCTCACCCCTGTCTTGAATCTGATCGGGATGTCACAGATAATTTATAGGTACTCTGATTCCAGTATTTAAAAAAAGGATTATAATTCTTTCACCCTGATGGAGGGGGGTAGATTACAGCTTTTGGTGTTATGGAAGGAACACCGTTGCCTAGTTGTCAGAGCCCTGAGTCTGGCTCCAGCTCCGTCACTAGAATGCTGAGAGGTCCTGCACAGAGCAATCAACTTCTTTAAAGTTAATTTATTTATTTTGAGAGACAGAGAGGGAGAGAGAGAGAGAGAGAGGAAAGACAGAGAGAGAGAGGAAAGACAGCAAGTGAGCATGAGTGCAGGAGAGGGGCAGAGAGAAAGGGAGAGAGACAACCCCAAGCAGACTCAATGCTGTCAGTGCAGAGCCCGGCATGGGGCTTGAAAACTCATGTACCGTGAGATCATGACCTGAGCTAAAATCGAGAGTCGGACTCATTAACTGACTGAGCCATCCAGGTGCCCTGAGAGCAACTGACTTCTGAGCCTCAGTTTCTTCATCTGCCAAGCAAGGGGGTTGGGCCAAATGCTTCCTTTGCGGTCAATCATTGCTAACATCCTGTGAAGTCATGCCCAGAATTGGACACACTGTAGAAGGGAGTGTGGAGCTCATGGGAGGCAGGCAGTGATGGGAGTTCTTTGATGTTATATTGCCTCCACACTTATGCTAACTGTAATAAGACTCCACTCTTCTGTCCTTTCTTCCAGGACTCTTCAACGAGTTTTACAGACTTCCTGGATGAAGAGTGCCTGAGAGACTGACAGTCCACGTTCCCTAAGATGGAGAAGACAGATGGTAGGCAGGCTGCTCTGTACTCTCTGGTCTAAAGTGAGCACTTGCGTTAGAAAGGGATTGCCTTCACAGATCCTGGAAACAGTCTAAGGGAGACCCACAAGAGACAGTCCCCAAACAGACAGCACTGGGAGACCCAAACCATGTATTTCAGATATGAGCAAGAGAAGGTGGTAAAGGATGAAAAGTGTTGTTTGTGTCGCATTTATGTATTTTTGGGCAGGTTTCTCATCTCTTCCAAGCACGGAGAAGGGAGCAGGATGCCCTCACTCATTACCCTCATTTTTTTTAAACATTTATTTATTTTTGAGAGAGAGAGAGAGACGCAGAGTGTGAGTGGTGGAGAGGCAAAGAGGGAGACAGACAATCCAAAGCCGGCTCCAGGCTCTGAACTGTCAGCACAGAGCCCAATGTGGGGCTTGAACTCATGAAGTGTGAGATCATGACCTGAGCCGAAGTCACTTAACCAACTGAGCCACCCATGTGCCCCTCATTACCCCCATTTTAAGGATGAGGAACTTGAGGTCTGAGAAAGAGGCACAAGATGGTAAAAGAGCCTCCATTCATACCTGGGTGACTCTCCCTGTCATTTAACTCCTCTGAGCCTCAGTCCCCTCATGTATCAGTTAACTTTGCTGTGTCACAAACCGCTCAAAAATTTATTGACTTAAAATAAAGACATTGAAAATTTCCCAGAAGATTCTGTGGGTTGTCTAGACCATTTTTCTGTTCTGATATTTGATATTTGCTGGGCTTATTTATGTGCTTGTGGTTTTCTGGGTGACTTGGCCAGATGATTTAGAATGGACATACTTATATCTCTGGTGGCTGACTCCATGTCACCTGGGGCACAGGTAATGATTTGGCCATGTGCTTCTCATCATCCAACAGGCTAGCTGGGGCTTCTTCACACAGTGGCCAAGGTACAGCAAGCACAGCAAGAACAGACACCCCAAAGTGCTAGCAGTTTTCAAGTCTCTGCATTTGTCACATTTGCTGTTGACCTACTGGGCAAAGCAAGTCACCAGGCCAAGCTTTGGGTCGGTGTGGGAGGGGAGTGCCCAAGAGTGGGGTATGACTGTGGCTCTTTTTGCAAACAGTCTACTTCCCCTTATCCTATAAGCAGGTATAGGTATAAATACCTACTTCACAGGGTTGGTAAAAGACTAAATGAGATAATGCATGCAAAGCTGTTGAGTAATAGCTATCTTACACAACAATGGCCTTCATAAATATTCCCTTCTTCCCCAGCCCAGGAAACTTGCCGAAGCTTATAGAGGAGATCCGGATCTCCTGCCTTCTAATGAAATGCTTTTTCCAGATCAGCCAATGTCAGGAAACAGGAGTGCCTGTAATTCCCCTGAATCACATGACCCTTAACCAGCACAGGACTTGGGGACCAGATGGCGACTCCAGCCCTGCCTCCTCCTTCTTTCCAAATGTAGACACCGTTATTTCAAGAGTCTGCCTTTCTCCCCAGACAGCTGCCTTTTCAGTGCATCCAGGGAAGTGGTCCCACAGAACACCAGCTAATTCTCTTAATGCCCCAGGGGCCTGTCATTTCTGCCTGCCTCATCTGTCCCTGCTCAGCACTCTGGGCCCCCGCTGTGCACTCAGCTCCATGTGATTACCCACAACAAGCTCAACAAAGGCACCCCTCCCTTCAGGCACAACCCCCTCACAAAATAAAGGCTCAAGAGGGAAAAGCTTCGGTGGCTGTCTTAAGCCTTCTGAAGAGGCTCATTAAATCTCCCTTCCTTCCGGCTGTGTTTTTGGCTGCTTTCTCTGTAGTTTCTGTTTTTCCTATTTCCTTCAGAAACCGAATATAGGCTTTTGGGCTTTCCTTCCTCACTTTAAATAAGCTCTGATTGGTTAGCTCACCTGCTGAACTTCACTGTGTTCCTCAAGATAGCCACTCTGGCATCTCCCTCCTTCCCTGGTCCCCTTCCGATCCCTTTTCTTGCACCTGTGCCTGAGTCTTAGGCTCACGACTGTTTGCGGGTCGTTTCCAAGGTTCTAGTGATCTGGCGTGCTTTCGGAATCCTGGGTAGCTCTGTCCCTATATATCTTTTTTCTTCTCCCCTGACTCCTTTTCCCAGCTTCCCAGAATTATCTTCTTGGACTCTTGAGGCTGTCATTCTAACACAGAGCTAAATATTTCAAGGAATGAGCACACCCTCAGCAGATCCTCCCCTGCCTCACTCAGCACCACCCTATCTTTGCCTTTCTAGGGTCCCTGCTCTGTGTCCTCTCTACCGCATTCATGCTAACAACTGCAACAACTCTGTAAGTTAGGTATTATCATTACCATGTTACAAAGGGAGAAACTGAGGCACCGGGAAATTAAATAATTAAATAATGTACCCCGAAGTAGGAAATGACATGTGTTCATTTATCTGATTTGAAGCTCATTTTGAGCAAAGACAGTCCTGTTAATTAATTCTTGCCCTGGCCCAATGCCTGGAATTCTGAGGTCCTGCATACCTGTCACCAGGTAGAATTAAGAAGAGCAGAGCCAAATGTGAGCACAGGTCTGCTGGCATATCGGATCAACTCCCTCATTCAACATCCAGCATTCCTCTTACACTGGGAGAAGGAGAAGGAACACAGTGGTGGGTGGCAGGTGGAGCAGGTTGTGTGTGTGTGTGTGTGTGTGTGTGTGTGTGTGTGTGTGTGTGTGATATACCCCTTAGGGCTAGTTTAGGAAAGCACCTATTAAATCCATCATCCTGGATGGCTGCTCGGTCTCCAGACTCCTTTGGTTTCCTTCCATCTCCCTTGTGGAAGATTTTGCCTTTGAATCTGCTGTTTCTTATTTGATGCTATTATTGTATTTGTGCTCTGGACCTGCTCCCAGAGGCCACTGGGTAAATCAGCCTCAATTGAATTGAGGCAATAAGCAGATAAATAATGCAGCCTCTCCTTTAGGAGAGTTCTTTGCCTTCTGGGTCATAAATCTGCTCTCTACTTAACTTGAGACAAATACCTCCTTTCTGGTATGGTCTGTCCCTGTAATCCAGGAGGCTGCGGGGTCGACCAGTAAGCTTAAGGGTACAGATGCGTGTAGCCTGGAAAACTAACAGGAAAGCAATGTCTCTCAGTTACTGAAACTATCAGTGTGCCTCTTTGAGGGGGAAAGCAGGTGGGTAAAACAATGGGTGGGCGAATGGGAACTTATCTGTTGCTTCTTTGGGGGGAGTGGAGGAGCTTGAGAAGTATTTACTCCTCATTGCCTGAAGTTCATGTCCCTGCCACAGAAATGGTAGAATCCAACACAGACTGTCCTGTGGGTGAGCACCAGTGCCTCCTTTTGTTCCTTGCTACAGCTGTGATGTAATTGTGTAAAGCCTGTGGCTTTACGAGCCTACTAGGCTTGATTGTGTCAGTGTGCACACCGGGAGCCTTTGTATGTCTAGTTGGCTTCATTTAGTTCTTTGGAGGTAACTGTACTTCTCTAAGCACAGAGGGCCACCTGAAAAGCATGTGACACTGACCAAAAGGAGAGGTCAGACAGGCAAGTGGGAAGAGCTCAGGACCAATATGCCATCACTTGTGGGGGGAAGTAGCCCCCAAAAGCTACCCCAGGTAGCACCATCATTTGCACCCTTTTCTTTCACGTGTCCCTTTCCCTTCATTCCCTTCTCTTACCTTGACCATGTCAGCCTTTAGCTTCTCTTACCTTGACCATGTCAGCAGGCTCCCAGCTGGCCTTGAGGCATCTGGTTTGTCCTTCTTGCAGTCCTCTGCAAGGACTCTCTTTGAGAAACCACAGTTGATTACCTGGAGAGTAAAGTCAAGGCTTGTTGGTGTACATGTGAGCTGCTCCATGACCTGGTTCTTGGTGACTTTTCCACTTGTCTCTTTCTACTCTTCACCCTTCTCTACCTCACATGGAGCTCCAGCCATATCAGCTGTATTTACAGAACCCCAGAATACAATGGCATTGCATACCTCCATGCCTTTGCACATTCTCCAATGTGTATCCAGAATCTGCCCTGGCTATTTATTGCTGCGTAACAAACACCCTAAAACTTAGTGGCTTAAAACAAGAATGTATTATTAACACAGCTTAGCTGAGTGGTCCTCACTTAGAGTGCCTTGCTGTCACTGAAGTCAGATGATGGCTGAGGCTGGAGTCATCTGAAGGCTCTTTTCTAGCATGGCTGGAACAGCTTGGGCTGGCTAGGCATCTCGCACCCTCTTTCCCCATCTCCTCTGTGTCAGGCTCTTTGGGCTTCCGCACAGGATGGCAGTCTCAGGGAAGATGGACTTCATACATGACATCTGTCTTTCCACTGAGTGTGCATTCTAACAGACCCAGGTGAAACCTGCAGGCTCATGACCTAACGGTGGAATTCCCTCAACATCATTTCTACCATATTATTTTGGTCAAAGCAGTCACAGGCCAAATCAGATTCAAAGGGGTGGAGAAACAGACTCCGCCTCTCACTCTGGGATTCCCTTACCTGTATGGAGGGTGGCAGTGATGGTGACTATCTTGCAGATGAACAGCTACAATGTCTTTCACCCTCTTGTTCTCCTGGTAAATTCCTGTTTGTTCATTTTATGTCAATCTTAGGACACTTTTGAAAAGTCATTCCTCTCCTACCAAGGCAGAATTAACCTCCAATTCTAAGAAAAGTATTTTTTAAGTTTATTTATTTTCTGAGAGTGAGAGAGAGACAGAGCACAAGTAGGGGAGGGGCAGAGACACAGGGAGACACAGAATCCAAAGCAGGCTCCAGGCTCTGAGCTGTCAGCACAGAGTCTGATGCAGGGCTCAAACTTACAAACTGAAGTCAGATGCTTACCAACTGAGCCACCCAGGCACCCCTAAGTTTATTTATTTATTGAGAGAGAGAGAAAGAGAGTGAGAGAGCATGAGCAAGGGATGGGCAGAGAGAGAGAGAGGAAGAGAGAGGATCCCAGGCAGGCTCTGCACTGTCAGCATGGAGCCTGATGCAGGGCTCGAGTTCACAAACCACAAGATCATGACCTGAGCTAAAACCAAGAGTCAGACATGACTGAGCCACCCAGGTGCCCTCTAAGGAAAGTATTCTGAAGAAACTGGGAAAATAAGTCAGGAAGGAAGACTGTCCTTCGAGCATGTATCTGTTACCATCCTTGTCACACCATATTGTACCTATTGGTATTTCTCCTACCTGACCATGTGTTTTTGAGGGCAGGGCTGTACCTGATTTATCTTTGTGTCCTTAGGATCTAGCTTAGCAATATGTAGGTGCACATACTGAATTACTACTATTTTGTAATTTCGCCCTCAGGGCCTATTACCCTTAGAGCCAAGCAATCAGTGAGTCACAAGGAATTTGTGGAGACCCTCCTGTGTACCCACGCAAATCAGCTTCCATTATGGGGCTTCAGTTCTCTATATTTTGTGTTTCCACAAAGATAATAGCTAATAGCTACAATATTGAGCATGGGTTGAATATTTATTATTGTTCAAAGCACTTTATATATCTTAATCAGTTCTCACAATAATCTCATCTTGCTATTGGTATTCTCATTTTATAGATGATGAGACATACAGTGGCTAAGTAATTTCCCTAAGGGTTGAAGTACACACCAGGCTTCTGAATCTGTATTCTTGACCTCTGTGCTCTCCATTAATGTTCTCTCCTGAGCTAAGCATTTTTGGAGCACGTTTAGCAGAATGTCAGGGCTATTACATGAGAACAGATGATTTAACCTGAAAAAGTCCTCATGGATGCAAACAGTTGAAGGACTGACTTGTTCTCAGCATTCTCTGCTGGAGTCAAGAAAATCAATGGTGCCTTGGTGTGATGGAGAACTTTGTCATCACAATGTCCCCTGATGGTTTGGGCAGCCCTGAAAAGTTCTAAGTCCCACCTCTCTTGGAGGATGTATGCTGATGTTCCTTTTGACATGGCCCTTTTTCCTTACTAGCTTTTATCCAGTTTATGAAGAATATGGTCTTTCCTCACCTGACATGAGCTTTTGGAAGTGAAGTTCATGTTTTTTAAGCACTAAACAGTTTTCAGGTGGAAAAGAGCATCAGCTGTGCATAATTACATGTTCCAATTCTCTCTGACCCTCCTGTAGCAGAAGGCTGACCCATGTGAGGTAGCTTAAATGATGTAGAAGGTGTAACTCCTTGATAGCTTTGGCTTTGGCAAGCTTTACTAGTATCTATTTGAATAATGCAGGCCTCTTTCTTAATGTTGAGGCGACTGTGTATTTTATCCTTCAAAACCTTCATATTCATAATTTCCAATTAGTACCCTGATGCAGCAAATTCCTGGCCACTTCAGTTCGGCAATTACCATGACTCAAAACCAGAAAAACAGTATGAGACTATTTTATTTTGCTGGTCTGCGGGCAGATTCCACAGCAGTAACTGAGATGAATGCTGCAAATTGGAAACTATTTCCTATACCTATTTCCTTGCAGACATTGGCTAAGTACACATTGATTTAATAACCTGGAATCTCAGCATGGCCGGAAGACTGAGAGAATCTCGGCTTTAATTTAGAGGCTGGGACATTTAGGAGAAGTCTCACGTGAGAGCGTTAAGTCCAAATCACACATATTCAGCCTCACCACCCTGCAATTCTTATTAACATCGTGCTTCTTTTTTACATGTCTCCCAGCCAAAGACCAGTCCTCTCAGGGGGAGGAAGAGAAAGACCCTCCAAAGAGCCACCCCTATTCTGTGGAGACCCCGTATGGCTTTCATTTAGACCTGGACTTCCTCAAGTATGTGGATGATATTGAGAAGGGAAACACCATCAAAAGGATTCCTATCCACAGAAGGGCCAAGCAGGCCAAGTTTAGCACTTTGCCCCGCAACTTCAGCCTTCCCGACAGTAGGGCTCGTCCCCACGCCGCTCTTCACCACCAAAACTGGTCCCCCATGGTGCCAAGGAAGGTGCCACTGGGGACAGAGGAGCGCGCCCAGTCATTGCCACCTGGTGAACACGTGCAAGCCTCCGGCAGCGGGGGTGAGGTGAGCTACCACAGGAAGGCCCTGCTGGCGGAGACAGCCAGACACTTGGAGGCTGCAGCCCCCAGCGAGGCCGAGCTGGCCTCTGGGAGTGCACGGCCCCAGCTCTTGAGGGCATCCAGCATGCCAGCCACACTGCTGCAAAACAGGGCCTCAGAGGACCCAAGTCTAAACTCAGGTTCCCCCACACCTCCTGCCCTCCCTCCCCTTCATGGTGAAGGCGGCGTCTGTGATGACACCTTTGGCCCTGCAGATGGATTTACAGGCTTTCAAAACTCCACCCCACGAGCAACAACTCAGCCCAAAGTCAGAGAGCTTGGGGACCTGGTGCCAGGAATCCCAGAGCTGGTCCAGGAGGGCACTGAGCCTCCAGAGGATGCAGATGAAGAGGAGGCTCCAAATCACCTCTCTTTTCCAAGTCCTCCCTTCTCATCCCAGGATGCACTTGTAGTTCTCAAGGATGAAGATGAACACAAAACCCGAGAAGCAGAGGTAGTGGTCTCCCCTGGCTCTCCAACGCCAAGCCCCCCACCCCTGCCATCACCCATCCCTGAGAACGAGATCCCCCTAGAAGAAATAGAGCTCAACATCAGCGAGATCCCACCCCCACCCCCTGTGGAGATAGACATGAGGAGCATTGGTGTCCGGGTCACCGAGGAAAGCCTGGGCCTCCCCACAACGGATCCCGGAAGCATCTCCAGCCTGAAACAACAGCTGTCTGCCCTCGAGAGTGAGCTGTCTGGAAGAACCGAGGAACTGGCCCAGGTCAGAGCTGCCCTCCAGCAGCAGGAGGAGGAAATCAAGGCTAGAGGCCAGAGGATTCAAGAGCTCGAGTGCACCGTAGCTCAACTGGCAGATAAGCTCAGCCGTGAGAACACCAAAGATGCTCAGGGCCAGACTGACGCCATGGTCAACACTGACCCCATCGATGGACTCTGGGCCAAGTTGCTGTGTGACAAGAGCACTGAGGTCAGCCTTCTGGGCAGCACAAGATCTGAAAGTTGGAGGGCCGGAGGAGAGGAGAATGGGCCATTATGGGCGCAGGACAGCCACAAACCAGGGGACTGGAGCCCAGCAGAATTCACGCCACCATCTCAGCTCTCACTGCCACAAGGACCCGAGATGGTCCTCACTCCCTCTTTACATAGCTGCCTCTCCACTGAGCTGAGGATCGAAGAAACCGGCCCCGAGCAGGAGGGAGGCCCTCAGGTGGGAGCTGAGGGTCTGGGCAAGGGAGCAGGAGGCTCTCCGTGGAGCAGTGACAGAAAGATTCCCCCGGCAGGGAGGGAGGAGGCCAGTTCAGAGCTGCCAGGGAAGGAGAGCCCAGGGAGGCCACCAAGCTCGCCCACAGATGCCACTCTTGGGCAATATGTTAAGAAGATCCAGGAACTCCTGCAGGAGCAATGGAGCTGCCTGGAGCACGGGTACCCAGAGCTGGCCAGCGCCATCAGGCAGCCTGCCTCCAAGCTCAGCAGCATCCAGAGCCAGCTGCTCAGCTCCCTCAACCTGCTGCTGTCTGCCTACTCGACCCACACTCCGCCCCAGAAGGAGCCCCCGGCCACCGCCTCCTCCCCGCCGATGGGTAAATACTGGTCCCCAACCCAGGGAACCATTTCTCCTTTACCTGCCCCGTCAAAGGGAAAAGGGATTTTAGGTGCATGCATATGTGTGTGTGTGTGTGTGTGTGTGTGTGTGTGTGTGTGTGTATGTATATATATGCATGCAATGTATATGTGTATATACACACACACACACACACACATATATATATATATATATATATATTTTTTAAAGGTTTAAGCACCTCGGGGAACCCAGTGGAATAAAAACGGATCTATGTAACAGTGGAGGCTCTGTGCCCCTACTCTTGTCCTTGCTCTAAGGTTGGGCCTGACTGCAGGCCCACCACGTACAGCTGTGCAGATAGCACAAGGCACAAAGATGCCGGCCAGGGAAGCTGAACACTCACTTGCCAAGTCAGCAGCACCGTGTCTAGCCAGAGGGGTGCCTGTTTCTCATTTGCATGGTGAAAGGCAATGTCTAGGGCAAGAATGGCCCTGGCTGTGTGTACTCTATGCCTCAGCCTCCCTTCATGGTTTCCTGGGCTCTTGCATCCCCGTGGTCCTCTCTGGTTCTTGCACATTAGAGGTTTTCTCTAGCCTGGTTTTGGAGGGGCATGATGTTGAGATCTGAAATATTTCACTGAATGTTTTCTCTGTGTGTGTGTGTGTGTGTGTGTGTGTGTGTGTGTGTGTAAGAAAGAGACTGAATGATACACGTGTAAGTCAACCCTTTGGCTGAGCACACTTCCTCTTATATGAAGTCACACACAATTTTCTGTTGTGTAAAGTGGAACCATATTTTGCTTTGCTCGACGAGAAGCGTGCAAGCTGCTTCCCGCCGCAAATCACAAACTCGCTGCTTTTTCGTGATGTTGGTGCTACTTCCAGTCCTGCTCATTGGAAAATGCCTCCTATAACCGTGAGCACAGCAAGAGAAGACATGCTCTCGCTCACGTGTCTGCTCTACCTGCCCCACATCACCGGGGTCACCTGGCTTGAAAGCCAGGAAAGACGGCTGAGGTGCCCCTCCAGCAGAGGTGGGTGCTGGAGCAGAGCAGAGGTCATGTGCTTACACTTCTGCTCCTGTTCTGCCATTCACTGAGCACGTCTGAGCCGCAGATCCCCCGCATAAGACAGGGACGATAACGGCCGCACACCACATGGCTCTTCTGGAAGAGTGCTCTAGCAACTCCACTCTATCATCCACACTCAGAAGGGCTTTGTGAACAGGGACAGGTCAGCTGGTGTTGACCAGAAGGCCAGGCCTCCTCAAAGACCTTCACGATATTTGATTTACATTTTCTAGTGCCCAGTCCCTTTCTACCTCCTCACACGCCTTCAGCGTGTATCCCGCTCAAAGCAGGAGTCCCGGTTTTGCTGCATTCTGGGGCATCCCCAGGATCATTCTAACCTGTGATGTTGTGTCTGCCTAGAGATCTCCCCGTCGACCAGCCTTAAATCCATAATGAAAAAGAAAGACTATGGCTTCCGTGCAGGAGGTAATGGGACCAAAAAGAACCTTCAGTTTGTTGGGGTTAACGGTGGGTAAGCATCGCTCGTGAAGCCCAGACTGCCCCCTCCACACTGCCCATCCCTCTGTTGTCCTTAGTCCTCTCTTTTCCTCGGGGGACGCATCTGGTTTTCATTTTCCTTCAAGGGAATTAAGGGCCCTGTAAAACTCCATCTTGGGTTTGCATGTGTTTGGCTCCTTGCCAGCTGTGGTGGTCTGTCGGATCCTGTGCTTTTAATGTCTTGCCGTTGGTGCCCCCGGGGCCAGGATTCCAGGTGGCTTCTGGGAGTTGGGGGAGCACGTGGGCCCTTTACAGAAGACATTTAATCTGAACAACAGACACTGAAACCAGGACAAACTTGTAATTTGTTGAACTTCAAATTTCATCCATTTAATTTTTTTTCTTCTTTTTACTAACTTCTGCAAACCAATCCAACATCTTTTAGGTTGAAGAAACCCACCAATGCCTATTGACTCAGAACATGAATCAAATCTTATATATTCTAGAGAGTAAATCATTGCATGTAGAATATTTTCTTTCTTTCTTATATTACTTTTTGAGAAAGACAGAGACAGTATGAGTGGGGTAGGGTCAGAGAGAAAGGGAGAGAGAGAGAATCCCAAGCAGGCTGCAAACTGCCAGCACAGAGCCCAACTCAAGGCTTGAACTCACAAAACCGTGAGATCCAAGAGTCGGACACTTAACTGACTGAGCCACTCAGGCACCCCTGGATTTAGAGTATTTTCTAAATAGTCATTCAACAAACATTTATTAAATGTTGACAAATGTATTAGGTATCAGGCATAAAAAAAAGTTAAAAAAAAAAAAATCATGGTTCCTGCCCTGAGCTCCTACTTTGGACAGGGCAGAGAGAAGACAAGAAATGACAAGAAAATGCTGATATGCTGAGATGAGTAGAGGAGGGAGTGTAGCCCCAAAGAGGTCGGAAACTCTGCTTAATTCAGGTCGGACCAGAAGGAAGACACCAGATTCAAACAAGAGTGATGGCACTGTTGCAGGTTCTGTGAGGCAAACGTCAGATGTAAGGAAGTGGGATGTCACACGAGAGCTGCCGTTCTCATTCCCACTAACATCAGACGCTGTGAACCCGGGAGAAACCATTTTGTTTTCAGTTTTCACCAGCTCATGCACAGAAAAGGAGAATCAGCCTAATCTCAAAGTCGAAAAGCAGGTTCTCTCTCTCTCTCCCCTGCTTAAACGTCCCCTACAGTGCCCGCCCTGTGCCCAAACCTGGAAGTCCATCTCGTAGCTACAGCTTCCCCAGTGTCTGCCATTGGCTCGTCTTTCTTCCCTAAAATGTGCCAAGGTGGGTCCCTGCTGGGGCCCTTGCATGTGCTGCCTGTCCTTGTATCCATTTCCCCCGCCTCTTAAAGTGCTCCTGTCCCAGATATTCTTCAGTATTTGCCACTGTAGTGCAACGGTTCTCAACCTTGGCTGCACCTTAGAAACCCTGGGGGAGCCTTAAAAATACCAATGCCCGAGTCCCCTTCCTGAAAACTTCAGTTTAATTAGTCTGGGGTGCAGTGCAGATTTTGGGAATTGATATCCCCTCAAGTGATTGTAATGTGCAGCCACAGTACAAAAACTTCTGCTCTAATTAATGTGGCCCCTCCTCCCATTACTCTATCCCATGGTCCTTTACTATCTTATTTAGTGTTCTTATCACTATGTAATTATACTATTTACATGTTTACTTTCTGATGTTTTCCTACTAGAATATAAACTCAATTAGGACAAGTACTTTGGTATTGCATTAAGAAGAGTGTGTGGCACTTAGGTGCTCAATAAAATTTCTGTTGCATGAATGAACAGACATCCAGGTGAAGTTTTTATGGAAGCAACTGTAAGACAAGAACAGCTTGGTAAATGTAACATGTCCCCTATTCCCTTAATCACAAAAGTAAAAGGTTGTTCCAAGCACAAGAGAAGGGATATCTGCAGTTTAAACAAGACAGAATGTGAGCATGCCAAGGATCAGGCTGGGTTTGCAAATCCAGTGAGCCGGAGGGAGCTCCCATAGCAGCCATCATTCAGAGAAAGGGCATGAGGGGGTTCAGGGCAAGCCATGGCCACTGGCCTCCCCTGGTCTCTGTGGCAGTGTCCAATGGCCCCAGAACCCGAAACCTTCATCTTAACTGCAGCATCCTCTTTCGGGGGGTCTCCTGTTGCCCACCAGCAGAAGGATCCATAAATCTTCCAGGACTCCTCTCCATGGTGTCTGTCTGCCACCTCAATAGAGTTGCACATAACTGCATATAAGGATCGCTGCTGGGGAAGAGGGGCCACAAGTCAAGGGGCCCGTGCCCTCACTTTTGCTGTTGCAAGCAACAGCTGAAACCGGCTGCAGCCTGGAAAGGCAGATGCTGGCTTCAGGTATCCTGACTGTTCAGGTTTCCCATGGAACCCTGTAGGAGTAGACACAGATGGGTCCCCCACCTTGTCAGATGTCAGCTGGGCTAGAACAGGGGAGCTAAAGGGAAGTCTCGCAATCACCCAGAGACGTAAGGATTTGTCAGTCAACTCAGAGGATTCAGGGTGGGAGTGGAGATGTGTGCCTAGATCTAGACCCCTCTCTAGACAACGCATCAGGATTCCAGAAACAAATGCTTTTGGGAGAATCTTTGGTTGCTTGTCTGGTTCATCCAAATGCATTGGCCAACTAGGATATGGGTTATTTGTGGGTTCACTGCAAAGAGCTTAGTTAATTATCTTTTCTCCCCAAACGGCCTCAGGTGTTAAAGCCACAGCTCATAACCACATCTTTCTCTGACGTAAGGTTCCTGAGAGCCCCCTCACCCAGGCCTGCAGATATAGAGAATGGAGATGTGGTTAGCAAGCTGGGAATTATTATCCGAAGCCCACCTGCTTCTTACATGTGTTGACCTGGGCACTGGGTAGGAAGCACAGAACAAGTGACCTTTGTCTCGTTCTCCAGCTATGAGACCACCTCGAGCGAGGAGACCAGCGGTGAGGACAGCTCCCTGGAAGACTTGTCTGACAGCGAGACTGAGAAGAAATGTGATGGCCCAGAACACAGGCGTGGCAAGGAGGCCCACCTCAGCTGCAAGGCCGGGCAGGCCATCCGCGAGGGCACCAGCACCTCAGGCCAGGACGGTGGGCCTGGGGAAGAACCCCCCCATCCCAAGGCTGAGAGGTGAGTCAGATGGGCACAGATGAGGGCATTGATCCTCCGAGAAAGAGCAAGGGCATTTCTTCACCCTTTTATCCCATTATTTGTTCATGTGTTCAACTTCCTCTCCATTCACCAGTATTTACTGAGCTTCTGATCTATGCCAGGCACAGACGTAACTAAAGCTAACATGGTCCCAGCACTGGAAATGGGAAGGACTTTATATGTACTATCTTAGATAATCCTTTTAAGTATCTTGCAAGGTAGAAATGATTATAATCCCCACTTTACAGATGTGGAAACAGAGGCTTAGAGAAGTTAAGGGACACAGCTAGCAGAGCAGGGAGTCTAACCCACGTCTTTTCTCATTCTTACCCATATGCTTTTCTGCCTCTCCCATTGGCCATGTTGCCATAACCTCGTCTTTGAAAGAGATGCAAGGTCATGTCACATGATGAAAAGAGTACTGTCTGTAGAGCTAGACACAGTTGGATTCAAATCCTACGTCTGCGACAGGGTCGCTTTACACAAGGCACCTAAACTGTGGTTGCCTCAGTTTCCTCATTTGGAATAATGTGGGTAATAGCCACCTGATAGGTTTGACCTGAGGACTGGATAAGAAACAATATGTAAAATACCTAGCACAGTGCCTGCCACACAGTAGGCTCTCACGAAATAGTAGAAATAAGGATAATAAGTACCATAATCATCACCACCACCCCCAGCCCAGGGGAGTGACGAGCAGCAAATGGGATCTGACTGCTAAGCAGGTGCGCAGGGCTGTTCCAACATGGCAGTACTATAAAGACATGACGAGGGTGGAGCTTCCTGGTGACCAGTGCCATTAAGTCCCACCCAGGATGGTCTGTCTGCCCTTATACTAACACAGGAAGAGTGCCCATCACTGAGAGCATCCCAGCTTCACTGATTTTCATTTTATTGACTCCACTAACATTGATGGTGCCCTTCATGAAAGAATAACCTGACAAAATTTGCTAGTATGGATTGGGTTCTTTGGATTTTTCAAGTCGCTGAGGCAGAAAATGTTTTATCCAAAGTCAGTAAGACAGCCCTTCCTTTCCCAGCATGTCAGGAATTGCAGTTAGTCCCATGGCCCCCAGAATGCTTTGGTGATCTGCTCCCACCTCCTAAAAACAGCAGGATTTAAAGGGCAATGTGCTTGACTCACTCTTCAGAAGGGTTCAGAAGCCGAGCCTCGTGGGGGGAGGCTCTTTTCATTGTAATGCCCCTTGTCCTGGACTTTGCTCAGTGTGATGTTTCAGCTGCTGAGAAGCGAAAGTCAAGGTGGGGGATTATTATTTTTTTAATATGAGGACTAATATATGTGTATTTTTTTCTTTAGATATAAGCCTTCAGAAGAATTCCTCAGTGCATGCCGGGCATTGAGCCAACATCTTCCAGAAAGTGGGGCCACCACGGACCAACGCTTGGTACTGTGATTTTTCATTGTCATGGAAGGATGTCCATGCTGTTTAAGCTGTTAGTTTCAACTTGGTGACTTTGGTCCCCCACCCCGAGGCAGCAGCGTGGGTGTGCACGGAGTCCCTTTCCTCTGGGTGTCCTCATTTACCCAAAGTCTACAGCCTAGGCGATGGGTTAGGCTGGAAGAGGGGAACTGGTGCATTTGTACCAGGAAGCAGGCTGGTGCTCAGAGGCACTACCGAGGCATATGAGGGATTGCATCTGAATGTCCAGCATAAAATAATCTGTGGTGTGAAAACCAAACCAAACTAAACATGGCTTAGGCTCAAAATCACTGCACAATTGGAGAGAACTGTGGGTAGAGTGAAGAGCATGTGGAATGGGCACTGGGGGTTACAGTCCCAGGACTGCTGTTTGGGAGATCTTGAGCAAGTCAGTTCACCTCTTTAATAAAATGAAGGTGGATGGTGGGCAGCATGTCTTCATTACCCTCAAGCCCTCATATTTAATTCTGTAGTCTTTACTGTTTTTCTCGAAGCGCACCTATGGCTTGAGAGACCAAAAGCATGAAAATACATGTTTGAGCCTTAACACCTTCAAAGCCCACAGAGATGTAAACAGATAACCATTAGGTTCTACTTTTATTCAAGAAATACTGGCACAGACACATTTTCCCAAGTCACGGGAGCCCACTGGTAAACCCCAGTGTGTAACAACCTGTAAGCATTTTTAGAGTCCATTTTGTTCTCCTTTGCAGAGCCTTAGGAGTAAAAACCGATTGAATCAGCCCAACCCATCTTGATTATTTTACCTTAGCTGATTTGGCAAACAACTGTTCCCAGATTGTTAAAAAAAAAACAGTATGTAATGTGGATGGATGTTGATCAAAACTCCTGTTACTTATTCTGAAATGAATTACAGAACTAAGCTATATGTTCCTTAATATTAAGATCTTTCTCCAGATTCTCCTGAAAATTCCACAGGAAAGGGAGATATTCTGACATATAAAAAATATTTCAGCCACAAAAGATTCCACTGTTTCTGCCTAGACAACAGATAGGGGAGGGGCATCTGGCTGGCTCAGTCAGTAGAACATGCAGCTCTTGATCGGGGGTCGTGAGTTCGAGCCCCACGTTGGGCATAGAGTTTACTTAAAAATAAAATAAAAAAGAAGCAGAAAAAGAAAAGTGACAGAGGATGTGCACACCTGACACCACACCCACGTTAGGTTCAAAGCACCCCTTACCCCCACCTCACCTTAGAGACAAAGCAGGTTGTACAAGGACCTCACTCTGTAGAGCCATGGGCAGGTTAGGGACCCAGCCTTTTTTTTCCCATCCCTGTTTTGTAGATGAGACAGTAAGGTTCAAAAAGACTATATGACTTCCAAGGTCATACAGTTGACCAGGACTCAAGCCTGGCTACATTGGTTTAAGTGACCCCAAATCCAGTCCCTTTCCAGTGTGAGTATGAAGTCACATCCCCCATTTGTGGGGAATACTGCAGATAGGGAGGTCCTGCCATGGGTTGTTGAATCATTTTCTCTGAAGGTTCTAGCAAAGCTTAAAAGCCAAAAATAATTCAGGCATAGCTATTTGGGTTTTATTTTCTAGCATAAATTGGGCATGTTGTTTCTCTTAGCTTTCAGCATGCATTTTTCCCATTAGTAAAATGTTGGGACTTGCTAGTTATGCCTGTTAAAAACACACAAAAGTCGTCACAGAGTCTGGGCTAAGGTCACCATAGGCTGGTTATAAAGGACAGGGCCTTGGTTATCCTGTGCATACAAAAGGCGCGATCTAAACTTATAGTAAATTCAAATTGTCACCTAGGACACTGTCACCAGTTATTGTTTGCTCTCCCAGGCCTCTTTCTATCTCACATCGGGGGTTCATCCCACAGGTGCAAACTCAACCCCACTAGCTATGATCCCTCCAGGAGTAAATCATGTGGAGTTAGAGGGAGCAGAAGGGATAGCCGTGGAAGCGTCCCAAGCTGACTTTTACCAGCGGGAAGGAACCAAGCCCAGCCAGGCCAGGTCATCTGGAATTGGAATCTGTTGGTATTTCAGAGGCAGAGCTTGAACACCATCAGTCAGGAGTGGTTCCGCGTGTCCAGCAGGAAGTCGTCTAGCCCTGCCGTGGTGGCAGCCTACCTCCGTGGGGTCCAGCCCCACTCCCCGCACTTCCTGAAGCTGCTTGTGAACATGGCAGATGGCAACGGGAACACGGCTCTTCACTACAGCGTGTCTCACTCCAACTTCTCTGTCGTGAAGCTGCTGCTGGAGACAGGTCAGAAACAGTGCATCTGCACAGCCCGGGTCCTCCCTGAAGGGCAATTTTTGTACCCACTCCCTTCCAGACAGGAGATGCTTCACTGTCCTGAGTTCCTCCTGTATTCTAGGAACTGGACTAGACTTCTGTGCCTTTGTTACGTTGCTTATGCTTCACACACTCTTGAAACGTAGGTATTATTACCCTCACGTTGCTATGTGGGACAACATCAAGCAGCCTAGGAGTGACAGTGTGGACAGGTGGGTGATGAGGCAGACTGAAGGCATGTCCAGGTCCAGTGTCTTCTGTGAGTTCAGGAAAGTTGTATGTGGGATATCTAGGAGGGCATCTATAGGAGATGTAACACCCCAAATGGTGCTCCACAGATAGGCCCTCTGCCAAGCCCCTGGCATATGAGGTCTCATTTAATCCTCATAACTCCTGTCAATAGGGATGATTACCTCTATTTTTTATACGTGATGAAAGTGATGCTCAGAAAAGTCAATAGGCTTTTGCATGACCCCAAGATCACATAATGACTAAGTGTGCTACTGGGGTTTAAAATTGATACCGTTGACTCATTCTTCCCATTCCTGGCATCCAGGGATTGGTGCACATGCTAGATCTGTAACCCTTAAGTAGGAAGCTAGAGGAGGAGTTTAAATGGGCGTCAGGAAGTCTCAATTCCAGATCCAACAGCTTTACCCCAACTTGGACCTTATCCCTCATGGCTTAAATCCCTCCCACGGCTTTCCATGGCTCTTAGGATGAAAGGCAACGTCCTCAGCCTGGCCTTCAGGAATCCCAGAAATCCTGCACTTGCTACCTCAGCCACCACCATCCATTCTCCTTCCATCCACTCCAGTCATATGGCCTCAAACCCACCAAGCTCATTCTCTCCTTTTCTCTTTCTATATGAACCCTTTTCCCTGAAACCCTCCTCCAGACTGGCTCCTTCTCATCATTCCAATTCTCCAAAATTCCCTTAAGCAGCCTTGAAGTTTTTTACCAGAATGAATAGGTAACATACCTAATGACAACCTAAACTTCTTTCTGCTTTACACATCATTAGAGGAAGATAAAGTTACAACACTAACATCGAGTCAGTTTTAACTAGATTTCAGTTCTTCATGGATTCATGGATACCATAAAAAGGGTAGCTCGATCGAGAAAGGCACATAATTAAATGGAACATGCCCTTTTGTGTGAAGAATCCAAAGACTGGAAATGTAGAGCCCTCATCTTCAAGTAGCTCGGACTTGTAGCCTGTTAGAAGTTCTCCCAGTGGGCCAGGCTGGAGAATAGTCACCCTAAGCTTTGGTTGTTATACATTTCTGCTGGTGTGGACTGAGAATCTATTCAGTTCTCATCAACCCTGAAGTGATGTGGAAGCTTTCTGTTTAACATACTGATAGAGGGGCGCCTGGGTGGCTCAGTCGGTTAGGCTTCAGCTCAGGTCATAATCTGTGAGTTCGAGCCCCACATCGGGCTCTGTGCTGACAGCTCAGAGCCTGGAGCTGCCTCAGATTCTTTGTCTCCATCTCTCTCTGTCCCTCCCCTCCTCATGATCTCTCTCAAAAATAAATAATAAAAAAATTTTTTTAAAAACATACTGACAGAACTAAATAGCCACATGCATCAAGAATGAAGATGTGCTGGAGAATGGGCTGAAGGTACCATTACCTTCCCTCAATGCAGAGGGCTGTTGAGGAAGACAGACTGGTCACACTCTGACACCTAGGCTCCCTTCCCAGGCAGTTGTGAGGCATCCAGAAAGCACACTACAAACCGTAAGGGGCTACACTGAAGTGACTTGTCATTTCTGAGAAAAGAGCCAGCGTGTGCACCTCTACCACCTTAGTCCTTTGTGATCCCTCCTTTAGTTTGCCAGCACTCCGCTGCAGGGGAGAAAGCTGGTTGAGGTGCAGCATGCTCAAGCCTTTCTCCTTGCTTCCAGGGACGGTTGGCTTACTCCCTGTAAGTAATAATACCTTCTGTGGGCTGCTCAGAAGAATCTGCTATGAAACCCCTGGGTCTGAAGCCCCTTCGCCCCTTTCTGAACCCTGGGGGAGGAATCGGTCCTCACTCAGCTGAGCTACAAGTCATGTTTCTGAAGAGAGTAAAAAGAGCTGTAACCTGAGGGCTGTTTACACCTCTTAAAAGCAAACACAAAACAGCCATGAGGTAAAAATAAAACAAGTCATGAACAAGGCAATGCAGATATTGCCATCTTTATCAAGGTAAAGCTGTGAGGCAATGAGTGGAGTTACATTCAGCTTTCATAGCCCAGCTGGTCATGACAGTAGTCATAGTGGCTTCAGGGAGGAAACTGATGATAAAAGGCCCAGACTGATTTTCTGTATCCACTGGCATCCTGGCATCACAATGGCACATTCTGAAAAATTGTTTGAGGTGGAGTGGACCGAACGTCAAACAAATATTGTTTTTTTACACCAAGTACAGAACGTCTAAATAAATCATCCTAATTGACCTTTTTTTATAAACCAGATTTGTTACAATGAATACCTTAAGTTTTCATGAGCAAGTAGCAAGGATATAGAAGCACGAATACTATTCTAGACAATAATAGTGAAACGGTAAATACTTACTGACTGTTTACTATGTGCTAGGTACTGTTCTAAGTTCTTTCAATATACTAACTCATTAAATTTTATGGTAACCCCATAGATTCTATTATTATCCCCGTTCTATAGAGGAAGTGCTAAGAAAAGCTAAATTACTTGATCTATATAGTTTAGTTTTTTATCGTCCAAAAGAGATACATAGTTTTTTTGGACAAGCAACAGTACAGGAAAGATTTTGTTTTCCATATGGTATTGCCCTTAAGAGGCAAGATTGTGGGGCACCTGGGTGGCTCAGTCAGTTAAGCGTCTGACTTCAGCTGAGGTCATGATCTCACTGTTTATGAGTTCGAGCCCCACGCTGGGCTCTGTGCTGACAGCTCAGAGCCTGGAGCCTGCTTTGGATTCTGTAACTCCCTCTTTCTCTCTGCTCCTCCCCTACTCATGCTCTATCTCTGTCTGTCTCTCTCTCTCTACCTCTCTCTCTCAAAAATAAACATTTTTAAAAATTTATAAAATATTTAAAAAAAAGAAGTGGGATTATTTATACAACAGGTAACAGGCTGATGATCTCCTGTGTCACCTTTAGTGCAGAGAGACATGAATGCATATCCCAGGGTTACAAAGCAGACATTTCCTTTGAGTTCAACTAATACTTTAAAGTATTTAAATATTTAAAATATACTATTTTTCATTCTACTTTGAAATGTATATTCTCAATTGTTTTAACCCAAAAATGTATGGATACATTCCCCCCCCCCCCCCCCCCCCGCCGTTTTTCAAATAAGATGCTTATTCCTGGAAGATTTCCTGTGGCATTTTTCATGCCACCTGGCACACTACCCAGCATATTACTAGGCCTTTGGAAAAGACCGGAGAACGCTGCCATCAGCTTCAAAGTTATACACAGACCTAGAGTAAAGCCTAAAATGACAGTTGTGGGTGATGTGTGGCCAGGTGAGTGGTAGGCTCGAGAGCCAGACTTACCTGAGTTCTGGTCTCATTTCATCTTCACTCGAGCAGGTTCTGAAGCTTCACCGACCTTCAGTGTCCTCATCTGTAAATGGGAATAATGTCATGGGCTCTGCTTTAGGAAACAATCCTGGTCATTTTACCCCTTTGCCATCTCTGACTTTACTACCTTGGACCTTCCTTGCTGAGTGGCTTCAGAAAACTTGCAAAAACACTAGCCGCTTTTAAAGGCTGCTAAAAATGTAACCACTGACTCCACCACTTGGAAAAAATTGCTCTGCCCCAATGCCTTTTAGCTAGCAGGCAGTGCGTTGAACAGGGTACAGCAGCTCACTCCTGCTCCCCCATGAGTGATCCCAGCGCCTACTGCTCCTCTTGCAGGTGTCTGCAATGTTGACCATCAGAACAAAGCTGGCTACACTGCCGTGATGATCACTCCCTTGGCTTCTGCAGAGACCGACGAAGACATGGCTGTCGTCTGGAAGCTCTTAAGAGAAGGAAATGTGAACATCCAAGCTACTCAGGTAGGAGGTGTGAACATGATCCCTTCTTTAATAAATAAGGCACCTCTCAGTTTTATTCTGCCAGTGGGGTGAAAAATTCCATGCGGATCCATGTAGTTTTTAACCTAAGAAGGCTGGGCCCTCCAAATGACATCTGTCCAAAGCCTATACATTTGGTTTCCTCAAAAGCTTCTGAAACCCAGGGAGGCTAGGACAGAGGTCAGTGACCTTGTAATCTGTGTCCTGGTCTGGAACTGGGCAAAGTCTATCTGGACTGGACTTCTTGAACCAAATGTTCCCACAGTTAACACCAGGACATGAAAATGCTAAGAGGCATTTGTTAGTTGGCTATATAGGAAGCCTCTCCAGGTGATCCACCTCCATCATGAATTTGAAAGCAGTTCAAAGGGTTGGCATGTCTGTTTAGCTTCTGGGCCCCTCTCTTTGTGAGCATAGCATAGGGGCATGGTCCTAGTCTATAGGGCTTTGAGTTAGAGAAGGCTCTGTACGGAACAATGGGAACTCCTCAAAAGACCACTTACCCATCTTTGACCAATAGAACAACGGAGTGCATGCAACTCCCCCCCCTACCCCGCCCCCAGAGTGATCAGAGATGTAGCCTAACTACCAAGAACTGCGAAGGGTCTGAGATTGTACTCTATCTTAATGCTAACAAGTTAGTATGCTACACTGTCATGGATGCTAGCAGAAAACACGAAACTCTTGTGTCAGAGATGGACAGTGTATTATTCACAGCAGGAAGAGTAACCATCATATCAGTATTTACAACAGTTCCCTGAGCCCCAGTTCCCAATTCCCACAGGTGTGAGGAGGGTCAGATCCCTGTACATGGAGTGGGTTGAATTATTGGAGGGGAACCCTGAGCTTAGGGGACCTGAATCTTTTATACTGGATAGCAAGTATATTTGCCCTCTGTTTGGAGAAGACAGTGTCTCTGTCTTCCAAGGCTGTTAACTATACAAGCATCTTTAAAAAGATAGTCTAGGGGCGCTTAGATGGCTCAGTCAGTTAAGCATCTGACTTTTGATCTTAGCTCAGGTCTTGATCTCAGGGTTGTGAGTTCAAGGCCCGCACTGGGCTCCACACTATGTGTGGTGCCTACTTAAAAAAAATAAAGTCAAAAATAAAATGACAGTCTAGAACAACAGCATAGATAGCGTCTTGCTCACAAAGTATGCAGAAAACTTAGAGACCCATAAGAAAGTGCCTCCCAATATGTTTAACTCCCTTGTCCCTCCCACCCTCAGAAAGTGACTGCAGACGGTAGCCTACCCCAGATGGCAAAGTCACTTTGCACCCTTTATCTAAAAGCGATCCTACTGATGGCAAGAAACAGACATTTATAGATCACTTTCTGTTTTTCAAAGTATTTTCACCTAGAGCTCCTACCCCACGGGATTTAATAAAGCTGTTTTCATTATAAAATGTTTCCTATAAATATGTTAATTTTTTTCCAAATTGGCCCTCTTGCAAGAAGGGATGCTCATCAAAATCAAAATCAATGCCTTTTTAATAGATGCTCTAGGAGGGCAAGGGGCTCATCCCAGGTTGCTAAGGAGGGAAGGGAATTCATAGCTATTGCTGCTCCCTTCAGCTCCCTCCAGGGCTTTTACATATTTTACCTGCATATGAGCTGCAGGTACCAGGTAAATAAGACAGAATTGGGAGGCTGGGAGTCTCCTAGGCTAAGCTGTTTATTTCTCTTTGTATCTCCAGGATCAGCGCCGTGCCTGGCATATAGCAGCACTTTGTAAATACTGTTGAATTAAATTGCATTGAACTGGACCAGGAGGGAGGTGAGGAAGCCAGGGTCCCCAAGTTAGGCATAGGGGCAGACAAGAGGAAAATATACATATGTCATCTGGCTTTAATACCACTTGGAGAGAGGGGTCTAGATGGAAATCTCCTGGTCTCATTAGTCCAGTAAAGAAAGAACCATTACTTCAGGGCTGAGTATAAGCAAACCAAAAGGCAAACAGGCTTCTCTGGAATGATCTGTCTGGGTGCCAGAGAAATGGAGAACCAAGATACCTAAGGATACAATCCCACGTACTGAGTATTTGTCACACATTATCCCTCATGCTCATAATAACAATAATAGCTAACACATGCACAGCACTCGTGAAGCACATGAAGCTCACAATAGCCCCATGAGGCAGGTAATATTATTAAGCATTCCCATTTTCCTAGATCAGGAAAAGTCATTGAGAGGTTAACTTGTCCAGATTCACATAGATAATAAGCAACACAGCCAGGATTTTCCTGATTGCAAACCTCCTTTCTTTTCTCTAAGTCCCAACATTCTGGGCAGGGAGGCATAATCCATCAGTGACCGCAGATTGGCCCTTGATCAGTGAGCAAACATATCAGCAAACATGTCCTCAGCACTTTTACACATAAGACTCAGCACTGAGAGCCATGGGGGATCTGAAAAGAGGGAAAACATAGTCTTTGCCTCATTCTTACAACCTTAAAAAAGCCTGATGTCCAGTGAGAGACATAAGCCTGACCTACGTGGAACCCAGGAGAACCATGAGGGAAAACATAATCAGGTCAGTGATAGGACTATGTATATAAAAGAAAATCTATGAGACATAATAATGGCCCATTATAATCAGTAAAATTGCTACCATACATTGTTCTGTTCACCCCCTTATTTCACTGGGTTCCCACAAAAGCTCTGTGAGGTACACAGGACAGATTATTATGATAATTTTTAAGAAAACAAAAAGGCAATATTCAGGGACTACAAGTAATGGGGCCAAGGTCAGGCACTAGGAAACCGCAGAACCAGGGCCTGGACCCACTTTCTTTTTTTACTTTTAATTTTTTTAATGTTTTATTTATTTCTGAGAGAGAGAGAGACAGTGTGAGCAGGGGAGGGTCAGAGAGAGAAGGAGATACAGAATCTGAAACAGGCTCCAGGCTCTAAGCTAGCTGTCAGCAGAGCCTGATGCGGGGCTCAAACCCACGAACCGTGTGATCATGACCTGAGCCAAAATCGGACGCTCAACTGACTGAGCCACCCAGGCACCCCTTAGACTCACTTTCTGACTCTAACCCACTGCCACATGTGCTAATGATTACGGGGACGTGAACAGTTGTCAATGGCAGGGTGCCTGGCTGGCTCAGTTGGAAGTGTATGCAACTCCTGATCTTGGGGTTGTGAGTTCGAGCCCCACGTTGGGTGTAGAGATTACTTAAATAAATGAAAAAACTCAAAAAAGGTTTAAATGGTTATGGATTAGAAATGCATAGGACCATGCAGGCAGAGGTCTTGCCAAGACAAGAGAGTTTTAGGTATCACTGAATTGAAAATACCAGGGGTTTTCTGAGCAGACCAGGGCTTCCGGCAGGAAGTTAGGCTGGGGCAGGCAGTAAGAAGCCACAGTACAGAAGCATTCAACCCTTTGTTGACTCTGTCATTGCACGTTTACCAGCACGTACTTGGTGCCAGGCCCTAGGGAGGCAGAGATGAAAAGGACTTAGTCCCTGCCATCAAAAATGTCACAGTCCACGAAAAGGAGAGAGATTGACAGGTTGCAGTACCAAGTGGTAAGTGCTGTGTGATGAATCCCGTGCCTGGGGTGTTAGCAGAGGGCTCTAGAGAGGATGTGGCATTTGACTAGTGTTTCAGAAAAGCAGGAGTTTGCCAAGTAGAGAAGGATGTGTCCGATACCAGGGGCAGGAGGAGATTCAGATCAACGGTCATTTTCTGGAAACGTCTTGCCCCAGCATACCCAGGCTGGAGAAGGGGTCCTCACCACATGCCTGTGCTCTGTGTGGCAGGGAGGCCAGACTGCCCTGATGCTGGGGGTCAGCCACGACAGGGAGGACATGGTCCAGGCACTGCTGAACTGCCAGGCAGATGTCAACCTGCAGGACCACGACGGATCGTCGGCCCTCATGCTGGCCTGTCACCATGGCAACATCGACATGGTGCGGCTGCTCCTGGCACACCCGGCCTGCAACAGCAGCCTGACCGACAAGGTAAGACTTCCAGGCAATTAACAAATAGGTGTTTCACTTTCCTTCCTTCCCGAAAAGTGCCTGGCCGGCCAGCAGAATTCAAGGAAGCACATGTCAGAAGCAACGGAATCAACCTCATATAGCTGTTGGGGGACTTAAATGAGATGATCTGTAGTAAATGCTGGGAACCTCCAAATCCTAACCTTTCACATCAACCTGAGGAAATGTGCCCAGGCCTGGCCTTGGCCCTGAACTGGTCACAGCAATAATGGCATCTGGGCTTTGGAGCAGCAGCTTGGACAAGGGAGCTCTGCTGCCCACGGGGACTTGAAAGGCTGGATGGAGAAACCAAGTGTAAGTTACATCCACTCTCTGACAGTGATCTGCCTTACAGCGTGGTGCATGTCATCAAGCCGGCCCACTCGAGGTCGCAGTGCCAGACACACGCTGCTTAAATAAACATCTTTGTAAGGTGATGGTGATGATGATCACAAGGATGATGGTGGTGACGGCTGGCATGGTAACAATAAAGATGGTGGCCAGCATGTCTCTAGGGCTTGCTCAGTGCCCACTACTGCACTAAGCATTTGCCGAGGATCACGGCACTAAAACCCCACAACAACCTTCTGAGGTTTGTTTCTGCTGATGCCACCTATTTGCTTGTAAGGAAACAGAGGCACTGAGTGGTTAAGTGACATATCCCAAATCACACAGCTAGTGCAACCCAGCTCCATCAAACTCCTTAGAGGACTGTCAGGAGCCAAACCCTTCCCTTGCATTATCTCACCAATACTCTCGATAATCTAGTGACGTAGATATTTTGATCCCCATTTTCACTGATAAGGAAACAGAGGCTTAGAGAGTTTATGAGGCTGTCGTAAGGTCACAAGGTGCTGGTTCTTGGAGCAAGGATTCAAGCCCAGGTCTGACTTCAGTGTCCTTATTGTTGGAACTATAATGCTTTACAGACTCGTCTATACTTTAACATCCACAGTTTGAAGGGGAAAAAAGGCCTGGAGAAGGGAAGAGTTCCTCCCCTGCCCAAGGACAGCCCCTCTCACTGGGCCACATCTGAACTACCCGATACTGTTCCATCAGTGACTCAAGCTGCTGGGTTCCTCACACCACAGCCAGGAAGCACATATGCAGGTCCAGTGTCTTTAGGTTCCCTGAACCCCAACTCCACCCTACTTGTGGCCCACTCACCTGCTGCCTGCTTGGGTCACACCCCAGTTTTCCCAAAGGTGACTTGGGTGAGACATTTCAGAGGGACAAGGGGACTGCTGACTGAGGTCCTACCAACACCAAGCCTTGTGCCTCCAGCTTTACCTTGAAGGGTGGGGTCCAGCCCTTGCCATGGTCACCATATTGTTTCAATGGGCACATTTCCTAAGGAGACTTAGATGCAGGTTTGGGTGACTTAATAATTTCCTCGGAAACCTGAGAGATAATTCATGTCCTAAAATCAGTTACCCCACCCTACCACCATTGAAAGGTTGATATAAATGTGGAACCCCCCAGAATAGCCAGCAAGGCACTTTCTCTAGGTTTAGAAGGGAATTTGAGAAATCAGTCACCCAGCCTCCTGGGGGCTGATCAAGAGATGAGGAGGAGGAGGTGGTGAGGACTGGTCTCTGGACCGCAAGGCTTCCCCTTTGAGGGACTTACTCTACCAATGGGTGCCTCCAAAGCACCTACCAAATTTATGGCAGAGACTATGCCTTGCTCATTTTTGCTTGATACACAGTAGGTTCTTGTCATATTGAAAGAACCCAACCACCACCACCACCGCCACCACTACCACACACACACACATGCACACACGCATGCAGTCATGTGCTGGCTGCCTGAGCCCATCCTATTTCTTCAGGCCTTCAGTGTTGCCCAGCAGGGACTTGCCAAGCCAGGTTCCCACTAGAGCTACACAGTGTCGCCCTGTTCCCAGGGCTCTGGCAGAAGTATTTGAGGCATACGCCCTCCCCAGGTGGTCTGTCTGGCCACACTTTCTGAGCTGACTGGGGTCCCTCACTCTCCAGGTCTGCAAGTAAGAAGCCCACAGATATGGGCTGTCATCTCCAGAAGGGCCCTCTTCAGGGTACGTGGGTCCCCTGGGACTGGCCTGTGGCTCTTTCCCATAATAATAATAGTCATCCATCTTTGTGTTTACAGAGAGCCACAGGGTTGACAAAGTGCAGCAATGAAAACCAGGGGCCAGGGGACAGGCCTACAAAAACCCAGGTCCCTCTCTTCAACCGAAACTATGCAGGAAGCTTTTAGGAGACCCCCCACCCTGCTTAAAATTTTTGCTTTGTTCCAGACCCACCCAACCTAGGAGGATACTCATTAGGAGTTAGAGTGCTCAGGCTCTTCACCAGCTTGAAATGAATGCCTGTTACCATCCAGCATTCCCTCTTCCAACAGTGCTTACTGGCTGCAGACCAAAGGGCAGGCACTGGGCCAGGTGCTGGGATGCCCTTGCTGGGCCAGCAGCCACAGGTCAGATCTAGAGTCTGACCTTGCAGAACAGATTTATCAAGCAGCGCCACAGATACCAACTGACAAATGGTGGTAGAAGGAAGGTACAGTCACGAGGCCTTTTCAAGGAAATAAGCAGATTTGGGGGGCGCCGGGGCAGCTAAGTCGGTTAAGCATCTGACTTCAGCTCAGGTCATGATCTTGCAGGTCATGAGTTAGAGCCCTGCGCCAGGCTCTGTGCTGACAGAGCAGAGCCTGCTTGGGATTCTGCCTCTCCTTGTCTGCTCCTCCTCTGCACCCACACGTGCGCGCTCTCTCTCAAAAATAAACATTAAAAAGTCAAAATAAAACAAAAGCAGATTCAAAATTGATATATAGTATCATTCCTCTATTTAAAAACCAACAACAAATTTGCACAGGAGAGAAGACTGGAGGGAAACATACCAAAATGCTAACTTTCATTAAGGTCTGGGTAATGGAAAAATGAGAGAGTTATTTTCTTTCCTCTATTTTCCAATTAAAAAATAAATATTAAAAACCAAGCAAACAAACCACGTGACACTTCACAGATTTCCCAGAAGTGAATGCCCTTTCTGTGAAAGGGGACCCATGTTTTGTGAGCCTCATGCCATTCCAATCTCCACCTCTCCTAGGGTCACCAGATGCTTGGAATAGAGTTCCATGCCCCATGCCTACAGGGTCCTCCCAGCTCACCCTTCTCTGGGGCAAGAGGCAGACAGGATAAAATGGTTTCTCCTTTTCTTTCTTCCCTGTAGGCTGGCCGAACGGCTCTGTCCATCGTTCTGAAATCACCCGCCCATGTGGAAATTGCAGGGCTTCTGCGGGCCCACGCAGAGCAGGGCAGGTCCCTGGGGCCTTAGGGGCTAAGAAGAACTGGCAGCTGGGAACAAAAGACTCCTTCTCTGGACTCCTCCTAGGCCCTTGGAGAGGGCATGGGTCAAAGCCAGAGGGCCGCCCTTCAAGAGAAGAAACTATGACAAATATGCACATACATTCCTGTTATATAATTCTGCTCATTAGAATGCTTTGTAGTTTTTGCCTTAGGCCAAGCCCCAAAACTCCACAGGCTGCAGAGCAGGGTATAAGGTGCAGGGTGCATCAGTGTTGTCTAAAAATCCCAAACATCTTCAGCCTTGGATTCCTCATGACTCTCTCCCTTGTAAGCACCATGTAGCGAGCAGACAGGCAGGAGCACATTAGCAAAGCAATATTTTTTACATGGAATTTTAAAGTGCACCATCTTTTTGTTTTTTAATCAGTTACATGAATATGTCCCATTGAATATGCATGCCTCGAGAGGATTGGGCGGGGTGGGGGTGGGGGGCTTGGGGGGAGTTGGATTTAAGCAGCCACCCTGGCAATCATTCTCTAGAGGACCCTAGGAAAATCAGCATACTGATGGCTGAAACTGAACAAACCCAATCTGGGGCCTTTGTTTAGCTGGGGTTGATAGAGAAATCTTAAATTCAGGCAAAGTAGGAAGAGCATATTGGTATCAATGCCAGGTGTACAGTCTTGACCATTTCTGAGTCATTAAGTGGCCCCAGTTTGCACTAGGGAAATTGGAATATATTAGGAAATTTTATCCAGTGAAGCACACCACATGTATTTAGGCAGAGTCTAGTTACATCAGCTATTCTGAATCTATGAAAGAAACAAATGGGAGTGAGCATCCTCCTGGGGACAGGCTGTTGTCATCCAGAAGCCACCACATTTCCTCTAGAGCCATATCTATGGCCTCATGGGAGTCCTGGTCCCTTTCCCCTCCTAGACCTAGCCATGTGCATGGCTTCTATTCAGTAACTCACATAAAGTTATCTATGAATTTGTTCTTAAAGTCTTTTATGCAAAAAAAGAAAAAATCCTGTTTATATAAAAAGAAAAGACATCAAAATTTGGTGAGCCTCACCCTAGAATCTCAAAACCTTGAGTTCTCATTTTGACTAATATGTCAATATGCTTGGTGTCCCTTGGGGGAGTCACAAGACCTCCTTGGGCCCTGGTTTCATCATCTCCAAAGAAAGGAAATCCTCATACAACCTATCTCCTGGGGATGTTGTACAAGGAACAGCTGATGGAAGTTTGGGAATCCAATTTGTAACCCATAACGACTGTCTACAGAAATGGCGCAGCAAACTTCCGTATGCTGTTGGGATTCATGAGCGCCTCAAAGTCCCAGAGCAGGACACTGACACGTGACAGTGTTGCTCAGAGGTAGAGAGAATGGAGCAAATAATGAGCTACAAATACTTTAAGTGGATTTACTTTGACCTCAAAGCACATTTTAAGGGCAAAACCCCATCTTAAAAAAATGTTCCAATCCAGTGCTTCTCAAACTTTGATATGCATACAATCACTTGCAGGTCTTATTAGGGTGCAGTAGGTCTGAGGGGAAGGGAGCTGCGAGTCTACACTTCTAACCAGTTCTCAGGGGATGCTAATGTTCCTGGGCCCCACCACACTTGGAGTAGCAAGGCTCTGGCCTGGCCTGACTGTTTATATATTAAAATGCTGCCCCTCAATCTTTTGTCTCAAAGTTATTTCTTTGCATCTCTCTAGTCTTGGTTCTTGGAATTTGCACTGTGGGTCTTATTCGCTATTATAGTTCTGCAGACAGCAAGGAGGGGTTTGGTGTCCTCTGTTGCCCATTTAGTTATTTCTGTATCTCACACTAGGGTGGCAACTTTCATTTGGGTCACATTACCTTTTAATGATCTCATCTGAGTCCAGCTATTAAGCACAGCTTATCTACCAGAGAAGACAAACTGGTTTTCCTAAGGGTTTGAAGCCATTGGGTCACTATCCAAAAGGCTTTTGTCCATCCTTTGTCAGATTTTTAGTATACTTCTCCTCATCTTGAGTTCAGAATGTGAACACATTATCTCACTTCTTTTTTTTATGTTTTATTTATTTCTGAGAGAGAGAGAGGCAGTGTGAACAGGGGAGGGTCAGAGAGAAAGGGAGACACAGAATCTGAAGCAGGCTCCAGGCTCTGAGCTAGCTGCCAGCACAGAGCCTGATGGAGGCTCGAACTCACAAACTATGAGATCATGACCTGAGCCGAAGTTGGACGCTTAACTGACTGAGCCACCCAGGCGCCCCATGATCTCACTTCTTATAACTATTCCATTCTATCGGAATATCTGAGCCCAGAACATGGTGAGATTGAACAAGTACAGCCTGCCTCCCTGTCATTGTCTCTCAGTTCCAGAATTCACTCAACAAACATCTACTGAAACCAGCCAGGTACCGGACACTGTTCCTGGTGATGGCTTTTACTTATGTATTTATGTATTTTAGTCATTTCAACTTTATTATTCTTTCGTTATTGAAGTACGATTGATATACAATATTATATTAGTTTTAGGTATAGTTTTTAATTTATTTTATTTATTCTTACTTTTTTATTTTTATTTTTGAGAGGGAGAGAGAGAGAGCAGGAGAGTGCACAAGCTGGTAAGGGACACAGGGAGAGGGAGAGCGAGAATCTTAAGCAGGTTCTGCACTTGATGCAGAGGGCTTGATCTCACAACCACGAGATCATGATCAGAGTTGAAATCAAGTCAGATGGTTAATCAACTGAGCCACCCAGGTGCCCCAAATATGTTAACGCTATACGTTACTCAGTGTTAACTATAGTACAGTCATCATCTGCCACCATACAACATTATTACAATATTATTGACTATATTACCTATCTGTACTTTCCATCTCCATGACTTATTTAGTTTATAACTGTAAGTTTGAACCACTTAGTCCCCTTCATCTGTTTTGCCCACTCCCTCCCCAACAATACTCATCATCAGGGAGATGCAAGTCAAAGCCACAATGAGCTATCACCTCACACCAGTCAGAATGGGTAGTATCAAAAAGACAAGTGTTGACAAGGATGTAGAGAACAGGGAACCCTCAGACTCTGTTGGTAGGAATGTAAACTGGTGAGGCCATTATGGAAAACAGTATGGAGATTCCTCAAAAAATTAAAAAGAGAAATACCATATAATCCAGTAATCCCACTACTACTTATTTGCCCTAAGAAAACAAAAACATTAATTCAAAAAGACATATGCATTGGCACTGGCTTCAGTCACATCTCAAAAAACAGTATCGAAGGTCACCATGATCCCAAACCCAGGTTTCCAAGTCTCCGCTGATTAATAGATTTGTCAAGTGCCTGACAAGCAACATAAATCAGGCTTACTGGGGACAGATAATTAAGCTCAGGCCTCGAGAAAGGCCCTGAGAGACCTTAGCTTCCCTCATTGCCTTCAAGGAGTTTCCAACCTGTTTTTGGAAGACAGGAAACATGCACCAATAGTAAGGAATAGGACCAGGCAATACAGTTCACTCTTCAAATATTTCAAGCGTGCCCACTGTACGCAGGCACTGGGCTCATATCACAGATACTGTTGTTCAGGCTTCCACTTCACTCAACTTAGAAAAACAAACTGGTAAGAAGGAAGAAAGCCCAGAATGCTACAAGTCTTAGGCCCTAGTCTTAGGAATTCAAGGAAGGCTTCCTGAAGGAAGCGGTATCTGAACTGAAAAGATTAAATGGATTCAATTTTAATGGGGGATCATCTGGGTGGCTCAGTTGGTTAAGTATCCGACTTCGGCTCAGGTCATGATCTTGTGGTTTGTGAGTCCGAGCCCCGCGTTGGGCTCTGTGCTGACAGCTCAGAGCCTGGAGCCTACTTTGGATTCAGCGTCTCCCTCTCTCTCTGTCCCTCCCTCACTCACACTCTGTCTCTCTCTCCCTAAAAAATAAACATTTAAAAAAATTTTAGAAAAAGATTAGTGGAGGTTCGCCAAAAAAGGAAGAGAAGTGAGAAGAGCCCAGGGTGCAGCAGGCACAGACCCGTATTGCCAAGGCTGAAACATGGGACAGTAGGCATGTGGGCACCTTCACTCATTTCAACAGGACTTATGTAGAGCTTGAGTGAGATGCTCAGATCAAAGGGTGGATTCAGAAGAGAAGAGACTGACAGTACATGAGGACAGATGATAAAGAGCCTAAAGGGGCTTTGTTCCAAAGGCAATGGGGAGCTACTGAAAAACAGATTGATAACTAAGAAATTTATTTTCTAACCCTCCTTTAACACAAATCTATCAGGTACCTCCCCTCAGCCAAGTGCCGTGTTTGGGGCTGGGGACATACTGGGCAAGTTAGATACAGAATTTAGTTTCACAGGAAAGAAAGACAAACCAGTCATTCTGGCACAGCATGATGCATGCTGCAACTGGGAAAGTACCAGGTGCTATGGGGACACATAGGTGGGATCCTCAGCCTCATCTGAGGGTGGGGAGGGGGGCCAAAAAAGGCTTCCTGGAGTATTTAAGTTATCTGAAGGATGGGGAGGTATAACCATGCAAAGAGGAGCAGAGGAAGAAGCATGCATAAAACCTCAAGGCAAGAAAGAACCCTGATTTGGAGCATTGCAAGAACTTCAGGGTTCATGGAATAGAAAAAAGAAAGAATTGCAAGATGAGGCCAGAGAAAAGGCCACTGTAGCAAGTTTGAACTTGGAGGAACTAGGAATGCAGGAAATGACCCTCAGATTTACATTTTAGAAAAGCACTTCCGTTTTTGGGCATGAGTGACAATTATTCAATGAACATTTGCGGTCTGCCTACTCTAGGTCCTAGGCTCCAGAGCTAATGGTTTGGTGGAAGAAACAGACACAGGTTGATGACTGTGCAGAAGGATGCAATAATGTATGTCGGAACAGTGCTCTGGAGACGGGCTCTGCCGGAGGGAGTTGAGGACCCCTCATGGAGGAGGGGGCTTCTGCTAAGCTATAAGGATGTACAGGTGCTCATCTGGGCATTTTATTTGATTTTTTTTAATACTTTAAAAAATTTTATAGTTTTTTTTTTTTTTTTTTTTTTTTTGAGACAGAGACAGACAGACCCTTAGCAGGGAAAGGGCAGAGAGAAAGAGGGAGACACAGAATCCAAAGCAGGCACCAGCTCTGAGCTGTCAGCACAGAACCCGACGCGAGGCTCCAACCCACAAACCATGAGATTGTGACCTGAACTGAAGTCGGACGCTTAACCAACTGAGCCAACCAGGCGCCCCTGTCTGGGCATTTTAGATAGAACAGCAGCCATAAAGACATGGCATATGAAAGAGCATGGTTTGTCTAGGCGATGGAAAGAATTCCAGAATGACTTCAGTTTGGGCTACACTGTGGAAGTGCCCAGAGAGGAAATTTAAGAAGGTCTGTTGACACATCCCACTTGTCTGTTTGAGACTAGGAATTTAATTTCAACTTGAGCCTGCAGCTTAAGAGGGAATCACAAACTCCGATGAGAATCTGAAGCTCTCTTCAGAAAAATGCACATGTGTGCAAAATTTACATGTAACTTCCAGGATTCAGAAATCAGCAGTTAAAATCTCACTGTTATAAGCAGTGGGGAGCCAGGTATCATTTGCACCTGAGAATGATCATGGGGGCGGGGGTGGGGGGTTGTGCTGGAGACAGACTAGAGGCAAAATTAGTTAGAAGGTTCTCAGGAGATGCTGGGTACAAAGCTGTAAAAGCCCGGCCTGTGATGACATCAGTGGGAATAAAGAATAGGGCCTATGGGGAAGGCATCAGGAGCAGGGATGTGTCAGGATGTTCTCACAAACTGAACAGTGGAGAGGGGTCAAAAATGAGTGACAGGAAAATGGCGGTTTCATTTCCCCAGGATCCACTCTTTCCCTCCTCCTTAGTAATAGAATCCTCAACTTTTTTTTTTTTTTATGTGTGTGTTTTTGAGAGAGGGACAGAGTGTGAGTGGGGAAGGGGCCGAGAGAGAGAGGGAGACACAGAATCCAAAGCAGGTTCCAGGCTCCAAGTTGTCAGCACTGACACAGGGCTTGAACTCATGAACCATGAGATCATAACCTGAGCGGAAGTCGAACACTTAACTAACTGAGCCATCCAGGTGCTCCTAGAATCCTCAACTTTCACCTGGACACATCATCACTCAGAATATTCCATCTCCCAGCCTCCCTTACAGCTTGATGTGGTCATGTAACTAAATTCTGGCTAACGAGATATAAGTAAAGTAATGTGTGCCCACTCTGGTTCCTGCATTTAAAGGGAAGGGAAGTACATTTCCCCCTTTCCACTGGCAGGAGTGTGCTGACAATTCATCTTGATCCTTAAGGATGAGGCCAATACCCTAAGGTTCATAGGATGGCAAGTGAGAAAATGCTTAGACCCTCCAACACTGCAAAGCCATCAGATCTGCTGTGGATTATTTATTCCTCATTTATATGTGAGCACGAAATAATCTTGTTACTTACTGAAGCCATTGTACGTTTGGATCTCTGTTGAAGTAGGAATTAGACAAATGCAATCAGCATCCCATGACAGGCTCAAGGGTCTAATGCCGTGGGTAGTGGATTTCAGGAGGGAAAAGCTTGGGAAAGCTCTTGGAAGGAGCATCCTTTCAGGGGCTAGATACAATGGATACGTCTTCACAGTACAGGTCCCTTCTCCATGTCCACAGTGATATCACCTAGCCCACA